ATTACTGTTTTTTTAATAAGAATTTTTAAAAAAAAAAAAAGCATTTTAGTTAACGTTGGATTAGTGAAAATATCGAAACAACTGGTTGCAGATGAGTTACCTCAACGGTTTGCAGTTTCTAACAGACTAAGTTGCAGTGTATAAAAGTATGTGTTCATAAAGTTTTGAGAAAAGCAAAAACAGTTAATTGCAATTAAAATCAATGTTGTTTTTCAAAAATTTGTTTAAACAGTAGATAAAATTTTGTATTTTAATTATTCGGATATTTAGTGCTGTCTGTGGCAAATGATGTCCTGCCGGATAAGTGTTTTCCGTTGGAACAACTACGATTTTCGGGTTCCAATTTTGAGTATTTCGTTTTCACAGTTCTGTTTCCGCCAATCTGCTTTTTTGGTATTACCGGTAACATACTTAATTTGGTTGTTTTGCTCAGCAAGGAAATCCGTTCTAGGTGAGTCTGTCTTGACTATGTTCTTTGAATATGCATATAAATTATTTAAAAATTGAACCTGATAGCAGACGAAGACACAAACTGACACACCACACCACATACCTACACACAGAGCAATCTTTGTACTTGGCTGGTGAACGCCAAAAGCTTTAGTTTGAAAAATTGGCAAATCTGACTTAAGTTGATTAGTTAATAGTGCAAAAGAAAAAAAAGAGATATAAGGCTTTAAACTTATGTACACTTAGCGTTCTGTCGCTGTTTATTTCCTTCTTTTTATTTTTAAATTATAAATGTAGTGCTCAGTCTGATAACAACTTTTGCTTTTTCAAGTGCTGCTTTGTAGCCAAAATAGATTTTTTAAAAAAAATATGCAAGAAAAAAAGCAACGAAAAAATTTTTTTCTAGCAAAACTGCTGCAATATTATAATATTCTTTCTTTTTTTAGCAAAAATATTTTTTGTCTTTTTTTTGCTTCTATTTTTGATAGTCTAATTGTCAGCAGCGTATAAGTGCTGAAAAAAAACAAATTGTTTTTACATTAAGAAGTGTAGTTTTTTTTACTTTTTTTTTCTTTGTTTATATGTCAACAACATTAAATTTATTAATTTTTTTCTTTCTCTCAAAAAAATTGATTTGTTAAAAAAGTAAAAATATAAAAACAAAAAATAAATTAAAAAAAAGTGTCAAAACAACCACAATAAAAGTGCTGCAAAAGTTGATACATAATTCATCAAATTTTTTCCCCTTCTTTTAACAATTTAAACATTTAGTTTACACTTAAAAACAAAAGAAAATAAATATGAAAAAAAGAAGAAAAAAAAAGGAAATTTCAAAACATTTAAAATTGAACGATCCACTTATCCGATGTTTGCACAGCGGTAAAACGACAGTTTATTGTTGAAGAAAGTTAGCCACAAAATTTAGTTATTTTCCACCTCTAACTATTAGCTATTTCATCTGTCGTTATTAAAAAGTCGTTACATCAAAACTTTTAATTGTTTTTTTGCATTTAACTGAATAAAAATTTAAATTTTTGAAGATTTGAAACAATTAAGGAAAAGTTTTTCTACCACCTGAACTAACACAGCTGTCAAATGCCATCCTCTAAGCTAGCAAAAGAGCCTGCACAATTGGAGTACAGTCAGTTACGTTTATCAGTCACTGGTTCCGTGTAGTCCAAAGTGTGATCAATTTGGAAAAGAAATCTTTTTTCTTTTACATGGAACAAAATAAAATAATTAGCCTAAAGCACAATCAACGCTTCTTTTTTTCTGCTATAGTCTAAAAACTTATCGTAATTGTCACAATTTTTACACGATAGGCGATAAGCTGTTACTAATAAATCAGATTATTAACAAAGCAATTGCTGCTTATCAATAATTTTTTTTGTTATTTAAAGATCAAAACTGTATTGTGCATTCGTTTTGCAATATCAGAAAAGGAAACAATAAAAAAGCATCAAATGTAAATCTGATGATAAGCAGAAGAAGCACTGCAAATCTGGATGTTTATCTAAAAATTTTCTATACCGCAGCTAAGCACTGTATACAACACTATTGACACAATAAGTATTTACTAACCGACACTGATCACAGACGATAGCGCCTAATGTCATCAGTTCAGTTTTGCACAGTTTAATGCTTAAGCATCAGCCGAATAAATAGTTGTGTACGACAATAAAGCTAAATCTTAAAACATTTGGCTAAATATTTTAAACAGTTCTTTTGCTAAGGTCACTAATTTTTGGTGTCACAGTTAACTAATCGAGAGTAAAAGACAAAATTTTTATCTGATTATATAAATGCTTCTTTTGAACATTAAAAAAATTTTACTTTTTATTTAAATTGCTCCACAGTTACTGTATTCTCAAAAATAATCTGTAATCTAATTTTTTTTTTTTTTTTTCAGCGGTAATATACTGTTAGCAACATTGGCATTATGCGATATAAATTTTTTAATACTAATTATACCGCATGCAATTGCCAATTTTGATAGTGTGGCACAAAACTATTATTTTCGTTATTATTATTTTGCTACTAAAATTTACCTTATTGCATTCGCAAATTGGTGTTCTGCTACTGCCATATGGTAAGTTTTTACTGCCTTTTTTGTTCATAATTTTGTATTCAAAAAAGTGTTTTTTTTTTTGTTTAACTGTCTTTGAGACTTTATTTTGCCAATATTTTAGATTTCCAGATACAGCAATTAAATTCCCAAAACGGTTGAAACTTTGAACAAGTAATTAATGTAGAAAATAAAAGATTAAATAATTGTCAGATATACATGTCAGTAATCTAAATTACATAAATATCACTGACACGCAGTAACAGTAATATCAGTTATTGAAAACAAAGCTTTTTTTTTTTTTTTTT